GCTGCACGTCCTCCAGCCTCAGGGGATGGTTTAGGGCTACGGGTTTAACCTTAGGGGAACTCTTTAAGGTTTAGGCTCCAAGGATTCCTACAACTTTGGGTAGAATGTTCTGGGGCTGAGAGTCCCTGAAGCCTGAAGGCATGGCCGAACCGAGCAAGATTGCCACGAGCCGTCGCAACTCTGCGGATGCCCTCCAGCCACTTGTCTGCCTTCGCCCCCTGGCCATGCTGCCGCATAATCGCAGCCTCTTCCTGAGCCAACACAGATACAGCATCGAAAGCACGACGCTCAAGAGCGCCTGTCGTGGTTGCAGTTGTGCGGAGTGAAGCTGCCGCGATCACAGCGTGGTAGAACTTGACCCGGCTGCGATGCGCAGGAAAGGTTACTGGCAACACCACAAACGGAAAAGTGCGCTCGCGCAGGGGTCGCAAACCCAACGTCAGCGGCAGGTCCTGCTGCTGGACTCCGCAAACCCAAACCCTTAAGCAGAACGTCTAATCCTATACTATACTTTCCAGCCCTATCAACGAACTACAACCCAAAACCAAAGTATGAGCTCAGTCTTGTGCGCCGTGCTGCAAAGCCAGTACAGCTGCCTTCGCAGGCTCAGCATCCCACACGGAGCTGGCCACAGAACCAGTCGAGTCAGCGGAAGCCACCCTACGCTTCTTCGGAGGCGTCACCAAGTCGATCGTGCCCTGAAGCTCGTCATACACGGAAGGCTCGACCATGGGCGAGCAGACCCCAACAAAACCTTCTTCGAGAAAAACTGCTGCGTCAGAACCGCTCGTCACGGCGGAATTACCCTCCCCCCACCCCAACGCATCGTCTACAACAGGAAGCAACAAAAACATGCATAAACGCTGCGGCCCGTAGAGGTGCCGTCACCAAAAACTTGTCGTTAAACCTCTTAATCACCAGCAAGTGGACTTTGTCCAACATGGCTAGGGCGGTCGCGAAGACGGACAGAGCCTTTCTGACGGTCGGCTCAATGGGACCGGATTGCGGCACGAATGCTGTGGGGCCGGGCGCCTGCTCCTCGGCCTCAAGGAGTGTACGAAGCAGCTGCCGGTCAGAACGCGGACGGCGAGAGTCGTGCCAGGAGATCGCGTCTGCCTCCGTGCAGCGAGATCTCCAGGGCACGCTCTGGACGTGAAGGTGTGCTGCAGAGCAGACAGAAACTCCTGAGCAGGCATAGCTTCTGGCGTGAGAAGCTCCTCAGGCAGGGTAGCTAGATTGGAACTTCTGGCGGAGTGCCTGCACTTCCGTAGGGGACAGCTTAACTTGCGCAGGCGGCGCAGACGCAGACGGAAGGGCTGCGGACGGAGAGGCTGCCGGTGCAGCCGGGCAGAGGTCCTGAGCTGTGGCCAGAAGGCGGCGCAAACAGGCAGCAGTGGCAGAGTGCAGGAGTGCGGGGTTGTTGGGGTCTAAACCCAAAACAGCTTTTATGAAGGAATCCTCCTTGTCAGCAGACGGGAGGGCATGACCCAACAAGCCTAGGGCGGTAAACCCAGCAGAGTCCAGACGGGTCTTAACTTCAGGCGGGGCCGCCCACTGCTGGAGCAGGGAGGCGAGCGCAGACGGATCGTCCAAGCGATGCGACATATTCACCTGAGGCTTACAAAGAAGGGCGAGCTTCAAAAGCACAGCTAGAGGAATCTGAGTCTAGAAATGGCTGCCGGGCAGATACAGTAGAGGAATAAGTAGCAGACCTGAGTAGGATAGTAAAAGAATAAGTGCAAATACCCTTGCAGGCAGACATTTCTACCATCCCAGCGCGTGACAGGAGTCACAGGCATGGTGACGGTGACGAGTGCCTCTCAGAGGGTCGTCTTCCCGCGGACAGTTGGCAACGTAGGCCGGATTGTCGCACGGACGGTCGCACGGAATGCCGTTGGGATAACGTCTGCGAGCGCCATGCCGGCGAGGATGTCGCGGACGGAGGCGGGCTCCAGGACGAAGGTCAACAGGCTCCGGCGGCGGAGGCACAGTGGGGCTGCGTGCTGGCAGCCGGCATGTGTGGAAACACAGGCTCCGCAGCCGCAGGAGCGGAGGACGACGAGTCCTCATCGGTGGCATGCTCCAGCGCGTCCTCGAAGCGGGCAGAGAACATCGCTCAACTACCTGCTACTAGGCTACGGAAGCTACAAGTAAATGCTGGGAGCACAGGAGCCAGGAGAACAGCAGCTAAGCAGAAAGGATGGCAGTGAGGGATGTAGCAGGCAAGCGAAGAAGGCTGACACTACATGTTTTGACCTCGGCAGCGCATGGCGGACGGAGGTCTGCAGACGCATGCTGAGGCAGAACACGGGTAAGCAAGGCAGGGACTAGGGAAACTGTCGGGGACAGAGGAGGGCAAGCCCTAAACCCTACAAAGTCCAAGGATTATGTCACGCCGGCCTGGCACGCGCAATGCAGGCACGGAGACGCAGACGGAGGCACGGTGCGGCAGACAGTTTGATATTGTAGGGCCGACGCCCGGGACCCACAAGCCGTTCGAAAGAAACGGTCAGAGGACTGCGGATCCGGCACAGACAAGGGATCCGTCTCAGCTGTAGGTCGGACAGCATGGACCACGTTGGTCCGGTGGTTGAAGATGAATAACTGAGCTGTGGAATCACTCAGTGGGGCGGCTGGCCGCATTGGCATGCGCAGGGAGATGGCTGCTCGCCCTGCTCTGACAGAGGCGCCGAAGAAGCAGGGGAGCGGTCCGCCCCGGACAGGCGGTGGTGGCCTTGTATGCGACGGAGGGTGCGATCAAGAGACATTTGTCTGGACCAGGCAAGAACGGTAGCCTTACAGCTGTGTGCACCGTACAGACAGAATTCTTGCGGGGGCGGAGCATGGGTGCGCAGACGCCAGTGCTGGTGGATAAGGGACAGCAGTCGAGGAACCGCCAGGCCATGGGGGCAAGGCTCCAGGATGAACGGGCGGGGGTCAGAGCCACCCAGACAGGCAGGCAAAAAGTGAATGACACGGCCTGGCTGTCGGGAATGTGTGTTGGACAGAGCCTGCCGGAGCAGGTTATGGTAATCAGGAAACCAAAAAACATGGAGCGGACAGTAGTCTTAGTCCTGCGGCGCCGAGGACGGCGAAATGTGTGAGCTGCAAGCGCAGACAGTCGGGCGGAATCCACAGAAGGTCGCCCCATCTGAGCGAGGGTCAGACGGCAACCAACAGGAAGCCCAGAAAAAGAGCCTCGGACGGAGGCGAGGACGGCGGCGCTCCATCCAAATAACGAATACATGACAAGGGCCTTTCGGTCAGAGCTGTGGCGACCGAAAATGCACGGACAATAGAGAGCTGCAGACGGGCCTGAAGCTGCGGAAAGCCAGCCGCGCGAGCCATCCAGGAGAGGGCACGCAGCGGGCCAGTAGCGAGCCCCTGCTTGCTTGCACGGACAGAAAGCCAATCTGGAAGAGTGTCTGGGGGAGGGTCGGGTCATTCTGCTACAGACTATGAAGGCTGGGTGCTGAAAACTGTGGGCTCGAGAGGTGACGCTATCAGTAAACAAAACCGTGCTGCAAGCTGGGCTGAGGGCAAACTCGCAGACAGAAAGCCGTGCAAAGGTGCAAGCAGGCAGTCGATCCTCGTCATCCTCGGACGGGAGTGACTGGGGAGTCCCACCTGGTCGGCGAGGGCGTAGCCACCGCATCCTCAGATCCTGGCGGAGGGAAAGCTCAGGGCCCAGCCTGGAACAGGAGGACCAGAGCGAATCGACCTGGCACGTCAGAATGTAGAAAAGAAGCTTCAGCTGCAGCATCTGTACCTGACGGACAGATGAGCGAAAAGGCGCAGGGGCAGTCGGACGGAGTCCAGCCTTCTGGAGGAGGAACCGTCGAAGCCGGCCTGGCCAGAGCAAGCGCACAGCACGATGCTCTAAAGGAAAGAACGACCCCACCTCGAAGGCGAAGTCGATGCATCCATAGCTCAAGCAGATGAAGCGGACAGCACTATCAAATCGAATGTGTACATGTAAGCACAACGGACATGAAAGGCATGTGCAAACGGACAGAAAGTGTGTTCAAAGCAAGACATGTGAATCCAAAAGAAAGCTATGCTTCACCTGCGAGCAAATATGCTGCGGACGGCGCGCAGCATCCTTGCCGTTGCGTCAGACGACAAACACTTAGGATCAAGCTCCATATCGGACGCTTTATGTTTCAGAACAGCAGTGAATGTAAAAAAGTATTGGACACGCAGTATAAGTTACTTATCAAAAGCAGCGATGCGTTAGGACACATAAATATTACAATGGGATTACAATCATCAACACCAGAGCTTAAGTAGCAGACGGACAGGCCAATCTATTAGGACATGTAGACATTACGCATTCGGATGTATCAGTAAGTCTGAGAGTCAAAAATGCATAATCCAGACAGCAACGGACAAATATTAGTGTCAAGTATAATGCTAACAAATTGGGCATGACATCATTTGGCTCTGATGTTCACGGTTCTCCAATATCAACAGGAACAGTGAAATTTACAGGAACTGGAACATCTAGTGCTTCAGTTGCAGCATGAGATATTAAATGGAAAGAAAGTATCAAAGAAGTAAGTGATAAAGATTGTTGTAGAGTTGTGTTGATTCGTACCATGAGCATGTCAGGGCAGTGAACATTGAGATAAAGAGATTTGACGCAACAACCAGTAGAATTGCCAACCGAACAGTTATTCCTACGAAGCCTCTCGCAGAAAAAATCATATTGCATCCCCCCCTCCCCCCCTCCTCCAAACCTACGATTCCTGTGAAAGAATCACGCTCGACCCTCCCCCCGCCCTCCCCCCGCACTCCAAAACTACACGTTGCTGTGAAAGAATCACTCTCGACCCCGCCTCCTTCCCCCCCCACCTGCCCCATCCTGTGATACGTCACACGATCCGTCATTTTCCAGACCTTGACAGCTACTACTGCTAACGCAAACTCAAGCCTAACTCCGCTAGATTTCGTGACATGCTTCCAAACATAGCGCACGTGTGCAAATGGTGCTGCCTAGCCTCGAGCATCTTTTATCTCAGTGACGCCACATCCCTCGAGAAGCACTCCAACCAATGCGTCCTGGCATCATCTGCAAATTTATGTCATTTGCATACTGGGCCAGACAGCATCACATACCCAGAAGTAAGATGAGCACTGTGAAAATCTGAAACATCATACCAATGCTGGTGTGAAAGTCGAACTACTCATGAGTTTATTAGTTTGCTGTTTGGCTCGCCATGCCTCGGTGAAGCAAACGCTATATGTTGCAATCCTAGATCTGAAGGGCACTTGCTGTACCAAAAGGACAGGACAAGATGTCCCACAGCAGATTACAGAATTCGGCAGTGACTTCTACTTGTGGCCTGGGCGACGGTGGGCAGCTCAGAAGCCAGGTCATCGGCTGCCTTTGCAAGGGCAGGATGGCACGAAACGGAAAACCCGTTTCTTTCCTGAGCTTGGACTGATTTTGGGTTTGGGCCCGTGGCCAGGCACCTGGCCCCAGGAGCCCCGTCCAAAATGAAAGCTCAGCGGAGGCGGGGAGGCGAGGGCATGCCAAACGGAACCCCAACAAGCACGCACACGAGCAACATCAAAGACCTGCCCTCTCCCCCTCGCGATGCCTTAGCAGGCTTACATCACACGCTACCCCATCTCTCTCATGGGGATCCTCTCAACGGTGATGCCGCAGCTCTGCACATACTCTGTAGGAATACATGGTCACCCTTGCAGGCGACGTAGACCCACGATGGCAGCACCAGCTGACGACAACTCCCTCTCGATGTTTTGTACTTGATCCCGAAACTGCAACACCACCATGAGCGAAAGGGTGTGCGGTCTTGCCGGCAGGCTTGGCTGAGGCATGGCATGGCTCCAGCGCATTCTCGACTTCACGGTTTCGTGGTCGACGGGTCGACGGGTCGACGGCATCAGCCAGAGGCTCTCAAGTTAGCTGCCGCGCTTTCGGCTCACCCTCTGAAGCTGCGGCGGGCAATGGATGTCCTCTCGAGTTGCCGGCAGGACTCATCATCCCGCCTGCAGTGCAAAGTGCAAAGCAGACAAACCATGTCAGAGGCATTCCGCCAGTGTTGTCTCAGTTTACCAGCCCTATGCCCTCCATACAGGACACCACTTGCGCAGGAATCACTAGCAGAAACCGCCTTTGTATCCAGCCAACTTCTGGGGCACCGCTCCCGTAGTCGAGCTTGGCACTGGGGCTGCCGGGGAGCTGCCTAAAGCAACGCCCAGAGGCCGGGCTCGCGGTTGCCCGGATGCTGGCGACGCCGATGGCGCGGCGGTCTGCAGCACAGAGCCACAGCTTTTCTTGCACAACTTACCCTCTTGGAATCTTGGCTTGAGATTTGCCTCCGGGACAGCGTCTTTCACAGGTTGACCCTCGCTGTTGCGTAGAATCCGGGGCATGACTGCTCGCATGTACCTGAAAACAGCGGTAGTCATTGCACGAGGTTAGCCTCTCATGAGTGCGCACTCTCCATCCTTGAACTGAATGTCAATCTTGCCCGTGCCAGGACGCTTGGCCCTGCACGCCAAGCAATTTGGATGCTCGTCTTCCAAGAGACAGCTGCTAAGCTAGCGCCTGACAGTGACCGTCTCCCACCCAAGGTTGGTCTGCACTTTGATCACATCCCCAACCTGCCCGTAAACCATTCCGGAAGGCATGCAAGGGATTCAATGACTGTGCTGTTAAGTGATATTGGTAAAAAAAGCTGCCTGCACGTCCACATACCTGTTGGTATGGCTCCTGATGCTCCGCTTGGCTTTCCACTAATTCCATCCAAAACATCGAGGCTGCACACCCGTGCACGGATGTAGGTTCGGCATAAGGTTTCAGATCGACACTCGGGCAAGTTTGCGTATGTTCCACAGCAAGTCTTCTGCAAGGCATGTGAAGTAGATGGCACTTACCGTCATTCATGTTGAATCTCTCCTCTTCTCCGGTTGCATGGCCTTCTCTGGCAGCGCTTCTTCCTGTGCAACACCTTTCCACAAGCAGCTGAGCATTTCACAGCAGACAAGCAGCGACTGGCCTGCAGCAGTCTCATCCTTATCGTCATCCTGTGCTGAGCAGCTGCTCACCACAAGTATTGCCCAGGACTCAACTTTGTCTCACCTTGCCAGAGCGGCGTCGTGAGGCATTGCGGCGTGGCCGGGCACTGCAGCCCTGGGCCAGGCGTTCCACCACCTCAGTTTTCGGCGCAATCACTAGCATTAGAGTGATTAGAGTACATGACGCCCATGGAAGCCTCCCGGATTTCCTCGGCTGTTCGCTTCTCGGGCTTCAGAGGCTCGTCCTTCTCGTTTCCTCCGCAGCAAGATGCATGTCAAATGCATAACTCTGTGCAGGGCGCAGCATCCTGCCTGCTGTCTTCGCGGAGCCTGCCCGAGCCTTGCTATCCGCCTTGAGTCAAAACAAGAGGCAATGCTGGACATAAATGCCGCACTCCGCTCTGGCAAAGGTGCTTGATTCAGGGAGCCATGCCCTTCTCTTTATCACGGGGGTAGAGGTAATGGTCTACGCACCATGGCGGCCCCACCCGGTCTTCAAGCGCAGGCTTCTCGACGGGATCGGACAGCCTTACCTGCAAGCAGTCAAAGGCTTCCAACAGCCGACTACGCAGAAATGACTTCCAACTTCCAAACTCGTAATGCCTGATTAGCGCAGATCAGGTTGAAAGCTCAAGCTGTGACAGGAGCTTAGCAGCTACAGCTCATGTTTTCACACAAGGTTTGTACGAGCCACCCCTCATGGATGTCAGCGAGCCAGTAGGCTTGGTCTTTGCTGTTTTCGTCAAATGCATTGCTTTGAACCAAACAGCCTCATGCCAAACCGTTCAGTCTGCGTAGACCGCCCATCTTCCTCCATTAATTTTGAAGCTTTTCTTAGTGAGAGGTCCTTTGATTTGAGATATCGACCAAGTCCCTCGCTGCCCTTCGGAAGGTGCCGCCCATGAGCATCTCCCAAATGTTGATTGCCGCATCATGAACCTGCGACGGAGATGGCTGGAGCTTCCTAAGCGGTAGCCGTGCAAAGCCTACCTGCCAATAGTCTTTCTCTTTCTCTGGAGAAGGATATAGCCTCTTGTACCTGATACGTCGCTGCTGGCTCCATCAACGGCTTCTGGCGATAAAAGTTAGAGCGGGCGGGCACCCACTCTCACAACTTTGAAGCTGTTGATCTTCCCACTCGGTGCGCAGCAATGCAAACTCGCGCTCCTCCAACGGAGTGAAGGGTCCAAGCAGGACCCGCACAGGGAACCAACACTAAGCGGTCCTGCGTTACGCGATCCTCAATGCAGTATTTCTTCGCCATTCCCATGGCCTGACATCATTGTGCATAAAAAGCCAGGCAACACTTGGATGATACTTTCTTTTGGATGTGAAGATCTTGACTCCGCCGGGTGTGATCAGATCGAGCTTGGCCAAATTTGGATGGGAACTCGTATTGTCAGCGCACGTCTCTCAAGTGACTTCTTTACCGTTCCAGTCGGCTCAAACAGATTTCCCGTCAGTACCGATTGTCCTCTGATTCTTCTGAGTCATGACTCATAGGATATCCCTGTAATCTTAAAACATGCTTCTAGCTGTGTTCCATGCGGAAGCCCACTCCTTGCATTCCCTAGCTAAAAAAGTTATCAGGGTACCTCCATGTTCCACATCGCCCAAGCAGGAGGAAACGCGGAAAATGTAGGGTACGGCTGCACTGTGTTTGATGTCACTCAGGACCGCGCACGCTGCTCCATTTTCTCCCTTGCCTGCAGTGTCGCTGTCTTACACCAATCTTGGCTGCATTGCACGCTGACAGGTTTCTAAGTCCTGCCTCTCGCTTCTTCTGTCGACGTGCTTCTGGGTTCAGGTCCAACAAGTTGAAACTATCCCGCAGGACCTGGCCAGTACTGACAGTCGTTCAAGAAGGCTTGAAGGGCGTGCAACTAGTTTGCACACATTTGCTGAACTGGTTCCTCCTACTACCTTGGACATCTTGAACATTGATCGGGAATATGCTCGACAGAAACTCGGTCTTCTTTCGGAAGTTTTTCAGAATTTCAAGTGTTGAGGCCTTTGGGTCAGACGGAGTCCAGATGAGCTAGAGGATGCACTCACAACCCGGAGGCCCACTTCCTCAAGCGCCTGCGCGCGGGGACAGCAAGTGGAACAGCACTCGTACAAGTTCCGCTGGAAGCATCCCCCCGGGAGCAAAGCAATATGTGACCCATGGCACATGCCCTCGTCTTCCAGGTGAGTCTGACCTAGTCGAGTCTGACCTGGTGTTGCGTTCAGAGGCATGCTAAGAGCAGGCAGCTGTCTTGCCCTCCGAGGATTCCAGACCCGTACCCTTAAACTCTCAGGTCAAGACATGTCTTGACCTGCGAGTTTCGTACATGACCGCCTTCAAAGCCCAGCGTCACGCATTTTCACACTACTGAGGAATGAGCGCCTCTTTCACCCACAGCATGTGAACAGAACATGCCCGCTTTTGGTCCGGGGCGGCGCCGTAAGCTGGCGTTGCCCCAACAGGCCAAGCGGACACTGATCGAGTTGACCGCATCCAAAGAGGGTATGGCTGAAACGTGCCCTTGGCGGAGGAGAATCCCTTGGTCTGCCGCCGGTGCAGGTGTGCTTGTGTGGTACGGCCATTTAAGCTGCCCTTGCTCTGAGCCTGCATGCACCCCAGGTTTAGTACCTCGGTGAGGGATCACCCCGGGAGGAGCCTCAGGTCGTGCGAAGCCAGCTGTCTTGCCGCGTGACGAATTCCAACCTAAGGCTTCCCGGGCGGCGCAGTCCCTTGGCTTAGATTTAGGGGCCCAGCGGGTTGAGTTGTTGTTTATGGAAAGGCTGAGATGGCAGCAGATGCGGCAGGATTGTTAGGCTGAGTGCACCCGAGCCGACCTACTCACTCGTGAACAAACATAGGTCAGTGGACTCAGCAGGCAAGACGCGTCCTGCCCTCTGAGTTTGATTCCTGGGTCTAGAAAACTCAGACCGCAATGTGCGAGAAATTGAGAATGCGTTCAACATAATGCAAGTCCAGCATGCAGGAGATACAGTGCACCCGTCCCGGCACCATGCCTTCCCAAGGCCCTCCCTGTGACTCCCTAGTACCCTTCGCGAAGAAAACGCGAGATGCCGAGGAGGTGATGGGGAGCGCTATTTCGAGCCGGATCCCATTATACCTGCTCAATGATCTTCTCCCAATGTGCTTTGCAAGTAACGTAATCCCAAAGGACGTACAAGGTTCGGTTGTTTAAGACATGTTGCCTTTGTGTTCACGAGTAGCACAAGCTGCGCATGAAGAGCCTGACTCAAGGCATCTCAATTTCAGGAACCTGCATCTTGCCTATAAAGCGTCAAAACATTTCTCGAATACCCATCAGGCAAGAGATAGGGAACAAGCATCACCTTAGCTACAATGATAACACATGTATTGTTTTTCCCCGCTCATTTGGGTGCTTTCCTCTACTTCCATTATTCCATGGAATCGATTATGTAGCTGCGCTTGTTCACAACGCCGTGCTCAGGTTGGCTCATGTTCGGTAAAGTCTGCAAACTCTTTGACATGTTTACATCTTAGACACTCCAACTGAGTTCATTACAACCTGACTTCCCGAATGCCTCTACTGGCCACCGTGGCTGAGCTACTGCTGTCGCGAAAGCTCTCCCTGAAACCCATGCGTAACACTACAAGATCGAAGAACAACTCGACAAGCAAGACCTCCCCTGCCGAAGCTTCACCGAAGTGTTGGTTTGGGGAATAGATGCGTGGGGGCGAAGAACATTACTAGAAGTCACATTCAGCTGTCCTGATGCTGGCCTCTTCCTTAACCAGTCGATCCAGCTCCGACTCCGTGGCAAAAGAAGGTGCATGATTCACCTGACAAATTCGCCCAAAACAAGCATTTCATGGATTTGAAGACAGGCGGCACAGCACATGAAAACCGGGAGAACTGAAGCAAACGGGATCACAGCTAAATGCGCAAGTCGTGAGCTTGTGTTGACTCATTGAGGACACAAGGCTAGAGCCATCGATTGACAAAGAGCATAAGAAAGCAGATTCTACAGGAGCGTGCTGCATGCAGAATGCCATAGAACCTCCAGTAGCCATGGTTGGAGCTTCTGATCTAGCATCACGTCGAAGCCCAATATCTGCCAAGGCCACCAGGTGAACAAATCAATAAGTGAAAATGTTGCACAACACCTTGGCACATCAGACAGCTGCCTCGAACGACATGCCATTGTACACGTCGTCCGGCCTCAGCGGATATGCTGCAAAGCATAGTGCCAAACCAATTCGCTTCAACTGGTTTCAATGCTCAGGCTGGGTCTGGCAGCTGTGATAAAAATGCGATAAGCTTGGCTGAACGGCTATTAGAGTCTTGACGATCAAGTCCTGGCCATTTCAAGCTCAGCCCCCTAGGTTCTTCTTGATTCAGCTTCCAAAGCAGGCCATCCTCAATCTCTGCGAGGAGAGTGTCAACATCATGCCCCTCTTGTCGGAGATGTTCCTGGACGGCCTGACAAGCGCGCAGCTGAATCCCGCAGCATCTGAACAGAAATCGCAAGACATCCTCAACAATACATCTCATGCAGGCGCATGCAGGCACTAATGCAAGCTTGGAATGGCCCACAGACACCTAGAGCTTGGCAAGCCACACAAGTCAGCACAGAGCGTTTCCAGCACCGTACTGTACAGCACTTCAAGTGCTGCAAAACGTGTATGAATCGAATAGCAAGTCTGTGATAAGGAACTGAAGGGTGCAGCCTCAAAAAATAAACGGACATTAAAGAAAAGAAAGCCCGCATCAAGAAAGAAATACTGGCCTCCAAGCTAACAACATGGCAAAATCCCTAGGGATTGAAGCGTTTCCAGCTTCATCAAGAAAAATAGAGTCTGCGAGTATGAAAATTGACGAAGATTATTGAAAAGGATGCAAATGATGAAGTATAATGGAAGATGCACCTTCATTAAATATGATGCAAAAGATGGAGTCTGAAACATGATGAAAAAGTTAATGTAATAATGGAACATGATGAACACGATGAAAACGATGAAATACCATGAGAGACGATGAAAATAATTGAAAAGATGAAGCATGATGAAAAGTCATGAAACAGGGCGAACAATTCTGAAAAAACTGAAAAACATGGAAGATGGATGAACACCTTTTGAAAACATGGAAAATCATGGAAACTGCTGAAGGACGATGGGAAATGATGAAACATGATGTATATATGATGAACAAATCTCAAGAAGCATCCCAAATGAAGAACAATTCTGATGCTGAAATGATCCAAAATGATGAACCATGGTACAACATGGACGGCCTTGAAACAAAGCTGGGGGGGGTTCGGGAGGCACCCCCACCCCACCCCATTTGCAAACAAAACGATCTGCATAACCATCCCTTGCTGCAGACAAGGTGACGACATGATGCTTCTTTGTCACGGCAAGCCTGCATGGCTGGGGGTTGGGGCAGGCTGCAGCCCTCCCCCACACTTGCAAACAACGAAGATGGAGATGATGAAAGATGATAGAAACTACTGACAGACGATAAAGACTAAGAATTAAAATATGACGAAGTATGGAAAATTGATGTGAAAATATGAAATTCATGAACAATCCTGAATGATATTGAGAAATTATGAACGTGATGAAAAACGTGGCAAGTGGTGAAAGATTATGATACTTTATGAAAATTGTGGGGAATGATTGACAATTGTGACAAATGATGGAAACTGATGCATACTTATGGAAGGTGATCAAAATGATGGAAGTGATGAAAAATGACCAAAACGGTTCAAAAATAATGAAAATCATGAAAAATGATTGCTTTCAAAAGCCGCAAATGTTGTAATTTGCAGTGGCCGTAGCCTTGTAAGACCTCCAAATACTTTAATTTTCAGTATTCGTAGCCTAGCAAATGTTGTAAGTTGTAGTATTCGTGACCTTTCATCTTCGTAATGATAAATATAATACGATGGTGCATATTAACATCAATTGTATCGTAAATAATGGAGGAAACCACGAAGCTAGGAAGCCAGGAGGCCAGCAAACCAGCCAGAAAGCCAAGGAAGCCAGAAAGCCACCCAGCCAGAAAGCCAAGAAAAGAAACCAGAAAGCCAGGAGGCCAAGAAGCCACAGAGCCCAGAAGCCAGCCAGAAAAGAAGAGAATGAGCCAAGAAGTCAGGAAGCATAAGGAAAACTGTCTTGTCTGGCGCTGCAGAGCTAGACATGCTGTATTTACCGCGTCTGCAGCCCTTCCCGCTCCCAAACACTCTAAACTGCAGAATCTTGGCGTTGTCGTTTTGGATGCTCCTTTGGGTTTTATTGATTTCGGCTTATTTTTTGATGTTCGTATATCTTTTTATTGTTGCCTACTCCAGGAACTCCATTTTCTGGTCTCAGACTTGCCGTGCTAGGCCGCAACGGGTTTATTGCTTTGTGATCTGGCCAGATCTGTGCCGCCCATTGTATGAAAGCAATAACAGACCTCAACCAATAAAGTTGTCGTACGAGCTGATACAACTACTGTCAGCTTGCAGTAGCGTTCTAGTTCGCTATCTCAACATGTTGGCATTCGAGCTCTCCAAGGTTGTAGGCAATGCTCGGGGCTCATTAGCCCACGCATTGCGTTCTGAAGCACCACGTATTGTACCTTAAGACCTCTGCCTCTGCCAATGATGACAAAGTGGGGCTTGCCAGCAGCACCGCAGGCGGTGAAGCCGGCAGTGCTGCAGTACTGAAAGCCGTGCCGCATCCAGTATTGGTGGCCATTTCGCAGCACCGCCGCCGCCACCGCCGCCATCGCCACCACAGGCTTACAGCCGCAACAGCTGCGTGGAGCCGCACAAGTACCCAAATGGACCATGCAATTGGCCGCCGCAGCCTCTCTCAAGAGCCCCTGTCCTTAAGCAAGGTCTTCACATACCGAACCTTGTGATCCTTCTGCGTTCTGCCGCACGCAAAATCCAGGGCATTGCCCCTTTTGAGAGAAAGGTACTCGATCGAGTGGGCAATGAAGCCAGAAATTGAACTGGACTTTCGCCGCACAACGCTCGACTCGCTGATGTCCCGTCACGTGAGAGGGACGTGCTGAGATGCGAGGCTGACGACAGGCGGCTAGTACTAGTGCCGTATGGTAGGGTTAAGCAATCGCCAGGGGCCTGCAACGAAGTAAACACTACACTGACTGACAGATGCTCGCAAAAAGGCAGGATCTGGACATCTCGTCGGGAAAAGATTTTCAATCAGGCCTCCCAACTTCGTTTGTGACCATCCTGGGCATCATCTGGATTCGTGTTCTCCTGAAGCCATCAGAAAAGCCATGCATGATTTCACGCTGCTGCGCAAATTGTATGGAAAGGATCTCCTCAAAGTTTGGGTTTGTCTTGTTGATAGCGTAGTTCGTGAGGTGAACCATGACCTCAGACCTTGCGAGCGAGCATTGTGGCAACCACAACAGACTTGTGCAAGTCCAGGGATCACACAAGTTGTTCTTTGTTGGCTCCACCTCACTACAAAGCATGTTGCTTCAGTCGACGCGAAAATCCTCAAAGCTTTGGCCAGTACATACTGTTCTGATGCCAGACGCACAAGCCCTCGCCTGTCAGGAACCATCACTCATGCGCGAGCTGCGGGGAGGGAGGGGGGGCAGGGTTACTGATAATACTAACTTAATAGTAACAAGAATAGTAATAACACTTACAACCTTAATATTGCTAACATCAATAAGACTAACACCACCAGTACTTGCCAAATCTGGGGGGGCACCATTATCGTTTCGGGGATCCAAATAATGGAACCATTTGCCATTTTGGAATCCCTTATTTCCTCCGGTGCGTCTTGGCGAGGATACCGCGTCTGAGGCGCAACATGTGTCTTGAGGGGAGTTCAGAAGAAACTCACACTCTGAACAACCGGACTCGAAGAACTGGTCAGGACTCCAACCCAGCACACCTTACCCCTTGGCATGTGAGGAAGAAACTCAGTGTTCCGTTTGCTTGAACACATGAGGTTGAAGGCCTGTGCAGAAAAATCCGCAGCGGGTCACAGCCGCTCACCAGTACATAGAGCCGCAGGTCGAACTTGTAGCCATCCAGCAGCAGCGGCTTGCTGATGTACCTGCAGCAAACACCACGAAGCCCATTGCAGTGGAAGTTGGTGCATGCCGACTCAGACGACGCGGCCTCTGCGCAACGTAGGTGGAAGAGAAATCAACTGGAACCTTTTCGACATCCCGGATCAGGAAGATGCCTTTGCCCTGTCGGTCCACTGCAAATACTGTGAAAACATTCTCCCTTGGTCCTTGGTTCCAAGCCTGGCAGCCATTGTCGGGTTTGATAATGAAGGTTTGCTTCTTGGCAGCTGCAAACCTGAGATGCCAGGCAACGGCTGGTCCTTTTTACAACGCACGGTGCAAGGACAATACTCTACGAGGTCAAGCAGCTGCTGCTTGAAGTCCGACATGTCGGTAGGCAAAATCCAAGTGTCAGGGAAGAATCTGTATTCCTGGAATACATCATGGTGGGACATTCCTCCATTGTGGGCTCCGACCTTCGGGAACTGCTTTCGCATCCGTAGCAAGTTGCGACCTTGTCATGAAGTGATGGCCTACATTCACCTTGATTCAGCAACTGCACACCAGGGTCCTGTCCCAAGTTGTTTTTGCGAGTGATTGAGCTCATCCCTACCTGCAGCAAGTCTAAGCAAGGATGTCTAGGCTTTCCTGACACGGCTCACGGCGTTCCTGCACATATTGCAAGTTCCGGGGCTCACGCAAAATGATTCATCTTCTGGTAGGTCTTCAGCTTCATGAACCTGTCTGCTGGGATAGCCTGCAGGGAGGCGCGAACTTTGGCGGGTTGCAGCGGTTAAGGGAACTTGTGATGTGAGGAGATAGCAGCTAGAAAATGTCTTGACACATGGAAATTGCTAAGTCCATCAAGGCACTGAGTCACACCAAAGCAAGTCGAAGTCAGCATTTGCTGAGGAAGCCTCCTTCCAAGAAAGTCGTCTCATTTACTGCAGGGTCAAGTTTGAAGAGCGCAGGCTAACTTCACTCTGAAATGCGGGCCCTATTTGCCGAACGCAGGCTCAACATGGTCAAGTTCCAGAAACATAGGCTTATTCAAGCCCAAAGACGCTTCCGCATCCGCATCCACTGCCACTCCCGTTGTATGACTGTGTCGTGCTTGCGGGTCGGAAAGTTGAGAAAAGGGCAACCGGTTTCTTGGAGAAAAGGATTGGTCGGAGGCAGACAATATTAGCAGTACCGGCCACTCGTCCTCCTCATTCCTCTTGCTGCTCTTGCTACTTGTGCTGTTCTGCCCGTTTTGTTGCTGCTGTTGCTGCTGTTTTTGTTACTGCTGGCGCTACTCCTAATACTCCTACTTGAGAGAACTGGCTCCTTCCAGTTCTCGAACTCGGAGCAAACCTGCATTCAACATGCGAACACATGCTTGCAACAAGTTCAGGACATGAGGTTCGAACCTCAGGCAGAATCTCATACTTGCTCTCGAGCCATACAAGGATCCTTGGATGTCTACTCGAAATGCCATAAAACACTCTTTTCTGTAGATGTGACCCCAGATGGAGAGCCTGATGCTGAAAAATATTCATCGAGTAGATGGATTGAAGTCAACTCACTGTTTTGACTGGGTGACAGTACACCGCCTATCTTGATTCGCTGACTCTTACACGGAAAGGAGTGCACAGCGATTGGTACAGCACAGTGATCTGAACCCCTCGGATGACGCAGCCCATCTGTAAAGCAAGTTGCAACACCGAACTGCATTCGAGAGAAGGGGTCCTTCAAATTGCCAAGAAGGTTGCTTGATCCATGTGCCCTCCACTTGGCTCGTATGGTTTTCTTCAAACCTCATGAATTAGGCTCGGTATGCTGATCGTATTTCCTTGCGTTATGGTCGTCGTTCCAATTCTGAGGCAGCCAAAAGGGGCTGACAGCCCGCGCTTCCCCCCCAGAAAAGCCTTTCAGTGCTTTGCTGTGGAGCCGTCTGTTAAGGCAAAGCTGGTCTTATTGGACATGACAAGATGGAGGCAACGCTTGAGGGGATAGCAGAAGCAGGATAGGGGGGCCATGCACATCTAGATCAAGCTCTGAGGCTCTTCGTCGCCCGATCCGCTGCTCTTTTCCGTCGACCTGGGCCAGCAGGGTCTATACAAGCCAAGACACAAAATGTCAGCTGCAGTCTGAAGGTTAGACTCGAGGAAACGAGCTTAGGCTGCAGCGACCAGCTGCTGATGCTGCAGGTGCCTCCTCACCCAGCGGTCGCACCTGGAGATTCATTCAGGCCGATTGATTGACAGAACGAGGACTGAGACAAAAGGGCCTCTCTCGGCTTTGCTTTAGATTTCGCGAGAGCAATGGCCGAGGACCATTCAGGCCTAAAGCGACAGCATCATGCATCGGACACATGCCATACCTTGGTCAGGGTGATAGCCGGATCTTTGCTTCCGTAATCCGAGCAGGTGGCGGCACGATCCGACGATCACCAGGATAGTCCTCCACTAGCCAGTTAGCATATGCAACTTAACCCAGCATGTTTTGAATTAAGTCGAATTCGCAAAAAAAAATGGACATCCTCTCTCAGAACATTCCCTCTGCTACGTGCAGACACGCACGGAGCAGGCTAGGCTTGCGAGCTGCAGAGATTCTTGGCTAGGGGCCTTAGAAATGCCGGTACAGTAACCAAACTGTCCGAGAGGTTTCGGCCTTGTGAAAGTTGCAGCATCCCATCCTCGTCTTCGCCCCGCACGTCCGGAGTGAAAAGCTGCTCCTCGCTGAAAACATTCTCGTGAACGTCAGCAGCCTGGGCACTCTTGTGCCATGACGACACAGTATGGTGACATGCTCATCCTGGGCACAGGACCATAGCCTCAGGGTTCAATCTAACAGTCCTGCAAGCTTTGGCTGCGATGAAGGAGATGTAAGCAACAAAAAGCAAGTCCTTGAAAAGCCTCACGTCTCCAGTACGAAGGTTGCCGGCCTGGGCAAAAATAATTCTTCCTTCTACGAGCATATCACATGTGAGGGGGTTCCGAAGCCAACTGGATTTGACCTTTACCAGGCAGAACAAGAAGTGCTGAAACGAGATCCGATCGTCTGGAGAACATGTACTAGCATGCGCCAAGTAAGTACGGGACGGCCTCACCAGGCGCCATCGTCAGCACTAATTATCCAAACTGGAAAGCCCAAGAGTTTTGCTCCAGCGTAATGACTAAGACTGAGATTCTACAGGCCTTCTTCAAATTCTTGCTTGGTTGCCCTGAATGCGAAATGCAATGAGGACCTCTGGGCTTGTGGCTTACTCTAACCATGTGTTGGCCATGAAAACCACAAACTATCTTGCTACAGAGCAAGGGCGGATCGCGGTGTGCTTCAAGCCCTTCGCGAGCAGTTCAGCACGCACACGGAGTATTCTCTCCGTCATTCCATCCATCATCGGGTCATCGCTCTTCCTTAAAGCGTCACAGTGTGAAACTCACGAAAACCACGAAAGGGGCCACGCGGGGCCACGCGGCCTCAATCCAACCTGCAATCAGTCTCTGCGTAACCGTGAAACGTCTGCTCTCTTTTTCGGAGTCTGCTTCTGCGCCTCTTAAATGAACTTTTTCTGCTCGCCTGTCGAGCTGAACCTTAGCATGACAAAGCTGCCCGGAATCTCCAGGTTTGGTGGGATTGGCTTGCTAGCAAGGGTCTTTTGGTCCAAAGTCAAGCCATCTCCGACTGCAGATGCAATGGCCTGAAGATTATCCACGACAACATTTGACTACAGCATCACCTGAACGTTCCATCACGAACCTTTTGCCGCTTCTCCAGGAGCTCCCGCAACTCGCCGACAAGTGTCGCCTCGCGATTGGCCTTCTCTTCGAAGTTGTACCTCATGGGGCAGGGAAGCGTTTGATCCCCCTAGGGTCATTTTGCTCGCAGTCTGTTGGTGCGCACATGGCAAGGGCTCGCTTCTCCTCCGCCGAGTAGACCTGATTCTCCTGCCAACGGGGACGAGTCGACTCCGATGAGCTCATCGGAAAGAAGTACTGCTTGGCAACACTTATGCAAAATCAGTAGCTCCTTTCGGATACGCACCGCGTTCATCCTGCGGTGCCTTGAGCCACTCATGACCTGAATCAAGGTTCAGTAGCTTCTGCAAAGCACGCGCGAACCCTGTACTTCTGCATCAGGCATGGGCATAGCCCAAATCTTCTAGATTCTCGATCTGGTCGGCAGTGATGCCAACCTCTCCTCGTCGCGGAATTCGCATGCCGCTCTTCACGTACCTAACGGTGTGGGGCGCTACGAGAGTTTCTGGACTGCGTGGGAAGATATGGGAAGGGCACTCGGCCATGGCGTCACCTTCACCAGGGAGCAGGTAGCCTCGACAGCACGAAGCGCGGTAAATTCTCCGCTCACTCTCACTGTAAAGTTCTCAGGCCTCCATAGGAGCCTTTGCTCTGAGACATGTTGTTGATCAGCTCCTTCCCGTTAACGGACAAGAGCTCAGCTGAGGGTAGAAGAGCAACTCTACGGCTTATCAGAGCTGCAGAGTCGTCGTGTCCTGTTGCGTCGCCGGCATGGGCCCGAAGCCTTCATCCTTGCAGTTGGAGCAAACTCAGTTGGGTAATCTAATGGATACCGGTGCCGCTGGCACCGCTGGCCCCGCTGGCCTCGGAGTCATAGTTGTAGCCTGCACATGCAATCACGCAATCACGGACATGATGCGTTGGAGCCTAGTTTGGACAGCTTGAGCACCCTGGAGGAAATCTGTTCGCCTTTACAGCGTTTCACGTTGAGGGCCCCCATGCACGTTGCACGTCGCAGACGTGGTTTCATTGACGTATTAACCGCCCAGTGGGGATCTCCAACGGTGCTGCAAAAAACTGAAACATACCTTCCTCGAAGGTGTTAAAAAATATCGCTTTGCGATTTGCCCTCCCCGTTCAAGGTCCCCCCCCGCCACACTCGCGGAAGCGCAAGCGTCTGGCGCAACACTTCCCGGTTGGAAAAAAGTTAACAGCCAAGATCTTGCTTGACCTTATTCCAGCTCAGAAGTCTTCCGAGAGCCTGCTGCGTATTTGGAATCGCCAGCTGTGCTTGGGCGAATTTCGACCCATTCCACCTGCCGTGACAAGCTTTAGAAAAAGTAATGGCATTTATCGATCCTGCGAAAGGAAGCCTGCTCTTCCATGACGGTCTCTCCCGAGCTACTGTCATCATCCTAGTTAAAGAGGTCTCGTCGGCCACGGAAAAAGCTGAATGTCACGTAGCAATGTAGCAGCAGACCCCTCGGAATTGTAGTCCTCCTTGCTTGAAGACGATGAGTCTGATGAGGACTCCTTCTTTTTTTTCTTCTTGTCCTTCTTTGCGAGTGATGAAAAGGGGGCCGAGTTTCTACCAAGCACTCCCTTGTCAAAAAGCGGTTGGTGACAACAAATCGGCATCAACAAGAAGAACTAAAAATCAGGATCAAAAATAATGGGTATCAAAAAGTTGAGTAGGGGTGCAAATACTGCAAATTACAGCATTTGGAGTTCTTGCGGTCGCGAAATACAGAATTGTCATCGCTTGTGGAGCCTCGTTGACGTGAAACGCGGAACTGTCGCTACTTTTACCGCGAAAAGCAGAACAGTTGTCGCTTTTGGCGTGTGATCATCGCGAAAAGGAAGAACTGTCATGGCTTTTGGAGCTCTCTGTCGCGAAATGCAGAACTGTCGTCGGTTTTGAAGTGTCGTGGCTTTTAACGCCTCGATGGCTTCAGATGGCTGTCGGTGTGGATGACCTTTCAAACTGGTCGGCAAGCCGGGGGGGTTGGGGGGGCGGGTTGCAGCACCCACACAGTTGCAAAACGTGGATGAAGATGAGAGAACGGAGCCTCTTGCGAGGTGTAAACAGGATTTGGTTGACATTGTGTTTGATTTCAGAAAAGTGTGGGTTGGGGAGGGGGGCAGCACCCCTGTTTGCAAAGCATGGGCCAAAATGAAAACATATGTTTTTCTTTTTCTCGCGACAGTTTTGATGTGCGATAAAGATAAAGGTGACTACAACATCAAGGTTATACTCGCGATAACGGTGTGAACAATTCTAGTAGAAATCAGGGACAGTATAACTACAGCGTGGTAATAAAAACAAGAACACTAATGGTAGTACTAGTAGATACAACACTAGTAATAAAGAGAGACAGCATAAATGGATGTCTGAACGATGATACGAACAGTAACCGGCACAACCAGGATAGAGTGGCAACAAGGGCATGAACTACTAATAGTAGTACTAGTAGTTGAGGTTAAGATGTAGTGATACTAAGAATTATGGCAACTAGTCACAGGAATTGCAATAAGAGTGAAATTGGTAAGATATCTAATAATACCTATCGCAGGAAGTTTCGTGGCAATTGTGTTCAAAAAACAAAGAAGGATGACAATAATGATGACAATAATGACAACTGCAAGAAACGACAATAATAATGCTGAGAATATGAACACGAACGTCAGCAACAAACATAATATCGACTTTCATACCAGTAATGATAGCAGCAGTACCAGCAGCAGCAGCAATAGTAGTAGTAGCAGCAGTAGTAGTAGGAGGAGGAGGAAAAGCGGTAGTAGTTGTAGCAGTCGGAGCTAACGTCGTTCTTCGTCGCCTGGCGTCGGCAAGCGTTTTTCAGCAGTTCTTTGTGGTTGCGCATTTCTGCGTGCACCGCGAACTCTGATTTTTTCTGAGATTGGTTGGTTGTCTTATCCTGGGACCTCGCTTTGCGTGAAATCATTGGGTTCAAAGTTCATTGCTTCGAAGATTTCGCGGAACATGTCTGGGCTACCGACAGATCTTGCTATCAAGAGGGCAATATGTTATTTCTTACGTGTTTCCCCGAGTTTTTGCGCATTTCAGAACTTTGGACCTAAGCACCTGGATTGTCAGCGGCAGACGAGGGCGTCAGAATTCACTAACATTTCAGGCTTTCTGCGCCGCATTTGTGGAGCCATTTTTGCTTCGCAAGTTAAGCTTCCGCGATCAAATCCCGAAACCCTAATAGCGCTCGTGTTCCGGTTGCATAGGATTCTCAGAACACTTGTGGCCAAATCCTAATACCGTCACGTTCAAGCGCATTCAAAGACCAAAGCTTCCATGCCCAAGCCATAATAACGTTCATGTTTTGACGAGTTCGACTACCAGAGCATCCATGCCCAAACTAGAATAATCTTCATACAAGTTCGATTACAATCGATTGCCAGAGATTCCATGCCCAAAACCATAATAAACTTCATCTTTTGAGCAGCACGCTTACCGAAGCATCCAGGCTCCAACAGTTGAGGACTCGCACACAATCTTGGTGCTTGTTGGGCAGAGGTTCTTTGGGGTGATGATCGCCTGCAGGCTCTGTTTTCTGATGCGAGGCTCTTAGGTTGCAGCTTCAAGGACCCCAACTTTCCAGTGCTTGAATATGAGGTGGTTTGTCCGGAATTTTGGGCCCCTCCTCGTAACGCGTTCCGTATTGTAAGTTTCTCTGTTCCCTGCTGCTGCCATGTGCTTGAAGCCACATGGAGAGCAACGACGTTGCCTAGTAGCAGTAGTAGCAGCAGCAGCAGTGGCAGCAGTAGCAAAAGAAAAGCAAAATTGACCACAGACAAGAACAAAAGCGATAGCAGGATTCGCAGTCACAAAAAAAAACAGTAGAACAATGATGACAAGAGTAGTGACGCCAAGAGAATCATAGCAAGAGCAATACGAATGAGAATAAGAAGAATAATTAACAGAAACAGTAATGAACGATACTTTTGAAATGTCGTAGAAATACGAGTTATAGCCAAAATGCTAAGCAGACTAAGAGTTGCTTAAAAATATGTAGTACCGACATCTGACAATGATCACCAAATGAGTAGCAATGCGAACAACAGCAATAGTGTCACAAAGAGTAATAACCATTGTGATAAGCACAAACACAGGAAAGACAGTAATAGCTGCAGGACCCTGGAAAGAGAACTCAAAACACGGCGAATGACCGCAAGAGTAATAACTGTAAATGTGGTAGCACCTTCCCTCTTCCTTTGTTTCACTATTTCTGTGTCATTGCTTTTCCTTTGTTCTTGTCTGTCTTTATGCTTTTGTATCGCTTCTTTGCTCGTTATCTCTTTCTGCGATCCCAGTTGATGTTTTCTTCGCCGGAGTATCTGCACCCCCTTTGGGGAGGTCCAAATGTCGGCTTTGCAAAGATGTTCAATTCTCTTGACCCCCATCAACTTTGATCGCTATCAAACTGCGTTGATCCCTATCCACCTTTTGCTTGACGTCTTTCCCGTTTTTCACAGCTCATTCATCGTCCGTTAGCATTGTGTTTTGAAGGCAGGAACAATCTGCATGGCTGCAACCACCACAGCTCTCCTTTTTCTCCTTGCCTTTGGCCTTTGCTTTTTCCTTGGTGGCAGTCATGTGCTGGTGGCAAGTTGGCTTCTTGACATGTGCAGCTAGCAGCCAGGGACTCGGGTTCTGAAAACATGCTATGATCGAAAAGGAAATGTCAGTACAGCAACCCGTTCTGCCTTCTCCTTCGAGTCTTTGTCCTTTTTTTGATCTTTCGCTGGCTTTGAATCGCCTTCAGCCTGCTTCTCCTCCTTCTTGTCCTTCTTGTCCTTCTTGGCTTTCTTGTCTTTGTCATCCGCTTCCTCCGCTTCTTTCCCTGCTTTCTTTTCCTTTTTGGATTTATCCTTCTTCTCCTTTGTGTGATCCTAACAGCAGGGCATGCCCTGGTGGACTGCACGGCAATTCAAACGGCTCCCTGCCTCCGCCTCCTGGCCTTTTGTCTCTTTGTCCTGTTCCTTCTCTATCTTTTTTAGTTCCTGCCAAGTTTGATGCAATGCCCTGCAGCTGCAGTGCCCTCGTCTGTCAACCTCTGATGAGCAGAATGTCCTTGGATTCCGTCTTCATGGCCTGACACGAAGACATAGCCCCCAAATCTTGACAAACACCAGGGAAACATGCGGCGAGATAGTCGAAACGCGCGAAGACAATGGATAGCATGGGATTTGTGTCATCGAAGATCAATATCCTACAAGTAATCTTTCACCACCTATACGTGTTGAGGAAACCGCTGGCCTTGTCACTGAGATGCTGTGCGGCATGTGTGGCAGTGCTTTCCACAGTGGCACACTTGGTTTCAGAAGCAGCCTTTTTGATGTTCTTCTGGAAACGATCGTTTCGCTGCTGCTCCTCCTGGCAACCGCTTTGAAGATATGCATGCAACATGGAAAGGCCTCATCAATGCCTTGGTCATCTGAGCTGGCGCCTGAGACAGGACTGGAATGGCTTGAAGAAAATATCTTGGTTCTGCCCATCAGTCAATCACGTGCCTCCGCCTCTGGCTGTGCCTCCCGCTGTGGCGAAGGGGAACGAGGATACATGGTCCTCTGCTTGGCAATTCGGTGCACGAGCCTGCGTGAGTTGTTACATGATGCTGTGACCATCTCTAGGGCTCTCGCAGGAAGGAGAAGAAAGCTTTGCTTCTCATGGCTGTCCGGTCGAGGAGCCAGGCCTGACGGCTGCAAGTTCTCGCAACTCCCATTAGCTGGCGTCTTCTCACACGCATATGAATGCACCCACCATGTCTGCACCCTCCACGTTTTCGATATTCTTGCCAACTTTGTTTTGGGATCTCAGATCAGATAATGACACTCTGCCGGTCTTTGGCGTGCCAACCCCGACAAGATTTCAGATTTGGGTCCAGGGTTAAAGTATTTCCTGCGATTCCAGAGGGCCATCCATCCCTCACAATACACTGAAGTGACGGGAAAGCCGGCGGGAGAACTGACACAGGACCTAGCAGCTAGTTTCTTGGTAAGTAAGGACTACTCTGTCCACACATTTATCTGACGTTGGAAAAAAGAATCCGGACCCAGACACCTCACAGTTGAGCGTCAACTAAAATACAGTAGCCCGACTGTGGCTCTAGCTGAGCGGACTGCAGCACCTGCACAGGGAGGAGGCAGCTTGACTGACCCGCAGGAAGACTGCAGTGCAGCTCTTGACAAACGGAAGGTTGCCAGGAGGGCCGGACATGTTGTCCTATATGATCAACACGAACAGGTCCTGCAGAAAGAGCGAATACACCTCCGAACGCCCACACACAAACATGCGCAGACAACGGGGAAAAACCTGCTTCAGGGAATAGGCTCGCACACGCAGCCCAGGCGAACCCAAACCAAACCAGAAACACTAGGAGCCACAACCGGAAAAAAGAGCGAGAGAACAACTGTCAGAAAACCAGACCTGAACCAAGAAGCACTAGGGCCCGGCCAAGCGGACAGTCACCGAAAGCCGCCGAAAGCCCGACACAAATACACAAGGGCTAGCAGCGGCTAGCACAATCAAGCGAAACGAAAACATTCAAGTGCTACCACCAA